TTTGAATTTTTTAGTTGGGAATTTTTGGCTCTGTTTCTTTTATGTTCCTATAAGCCCAGATAATAGGAAATTTTCGAACATTTCCGACTTGTAGGTCGAATGCCCCGCAAATTCCCCAAAAAACCAGATTTTCAGATTTTCAAACTTCAAAATTATTTTTAATAACTTTATGGCAATACTACTAAAATAAAAACTACCAAAAACATTATTAGTATAACATCAAGAGGTGGGTGGAGCAGGGGAGACAGGTCCCCTTGCTCGACCCCCCGCTAACAGTCAGAACCAAACTAGCTTGTTTTAGCCGCCTGGGCTCAAGCCTGCGAGGGTGATCGCTGCAACAAGCTGTCGGTTGACGAGCTGAAGAAGATTGCCGTCGAGATGAAGGCCGAGGACGCCAAGGACGACAAGGACGCCAAGAAGTCGAGTGGCCCGTCCATCTCCGCCATGTTCCCCGTCATCGCCTTCCTCGTCGCCAATATGCCAGCTTTCTTCTGAATTGATTTGTGTTGGTGTGAATAAATCGGCGAAACGCCATCGTGGGGGTCACAGCACGTCAGGCACGTCTTCGCTATATATGCACCGCGACATACAGCATTTGAAAAAGTCCTTTGAAGTGAAAGAAGAGCATGCATTTTTGGTGTCGATAGGAGTATTCGGCGCTTGGCCGCTAAATTGCGGATTGTTGTGGCGGTATTTTTGGATCTTAATTCCTTACGAGATTAGTAGAACTCTGTGGTGATGGCGGCTGAAGCGTTTGACTAGAGGCCGGAGGCCCCTGCGTTGATTCCTGGTAGACTGCCAGATGCGATCCTCACCGGATTTTGAGCATTCTAGACGTTTTAATTATGAAAATTGCTTTGAGAATCGCCGAGATCGAGAGGTTGCGTGCCTTATAAGGTATTATGACATGTAATCGCTGCGCACTTAACAAGTCGTTTTCGGCTCGAGAACTTTTGAATTTTACTCACATATTTTACGCTTTCTCGCAACGGACTTTCTTCTTTCAGAGGGGCACTCTAAAAATTGTTGGCGACCTTCTCCATTCGCATCGCTTTCAAAACTTGGCGCCGCAGTCGAAAGATTAGAAATGACTTAACTAACAGCGCCGCACGCACAAACATTTGGAACGTGCGTGGTGTAATTTAGAGCGCCGCCGCCGGAAATGTGTTATCAGACATTTTTTTTAGAAAATTTCAATCACCGGGGTCGCCTTTCCTAACGGCCTGATCGTGTCTACAGGGTGTCCCAAAAAAGCGCCCCTCGAGCCGCTCGCAGACGTGCCCGATTTTCACCATTTAGGTATCTATCGAAAGCTCTCGCAAAGACGAGAAGACAAAGAGGATACATTGATCTTATTATGTATTTTTATTAGCGAATTTCACCTTCAAAAACCCTGAAGGCGGATCTGCATGGTAATTGCGAAATTCCTATTTAAAAGCTACCTCTTTTTTTAGAGAAATGTTGAATATCGGAACAATGAGGAAAAATCTTAGAAAACAAAGCGAATGATATCAAAGTCATCCTAATGTGAGTTTCCCCTGGACCGCTAGGGGGGTTGCTTTTTCTGGGACACCCAGTAGAAGAAATATCGTCCTTGTGCCGCCGCTAATGAGTTACTTTTTTACTGTTTTAGCCCGAATCGGAATTTCTAGAAGTGCCACACCGAGAGCCCAAAACCCTTACGCTAGTCATTTTCGGGATCCATCCTCAGATCGAACTGACCAAAAAAAGGTTGCGCAGTGGAAGTGTGACTCTGCATCGAAAGACAGTTCATCAGCCCGCTTTTTGCGCTGATTCCCTCCACTCTGCAGTCAGTTTTTGCTCCCGCCTTCCGAATGAGCACAACAAACACTGTTTCGGCTCAATGAATGTAATTTAATGATGGTAAGATGTCGGGAGAAAAGTGGTGATTATCGACGAGTCGCTTACCAAACCAAAATCCACTATATACCCTACTATCCTACTATATATAAAAAAATAGTGTCTCTGTGTGTGTGTGTATATTTGCATGCACTTCCGCTTGGATGTTCCGCACCTACAGCCTCGGGGAAGGGTTTTTTGGATAGGGAAGAAACGACAATAGGTTTAGAATGGTCCGGAATCGACTGCAAACACAAAAAAATTTTGAAAAATTGTGGTTTTTGCTATTAAAAATAGGTTTTTGTAAAACCCTGTTTGTTAGGGGAAATTAGCATGCGCCGGAAGTAGGGAGAGCCTATATAAAGGGACAGAGGAGCCGTTTTTCACTTTTTTCTTGCTAGAATTCAGGAAGAAACATGCAAATTAAGGACTTTCACAGGTCCTGCACGGGGCCAGGGTTGAAAAGCCGCGAAGCGGTTTTTCAACCCTGGTATAATAAAAAATAGTGTTTGTGTGTGTGTACCACTTTTCATCCGCTTCCGTCTGTCTGTCCGGGGGGATATCTCGATAGGGGAAGGATTTTAAGGTACGTATGATACGTCATTAGGTGCGCAATTGTCTTGAGATGACTGCACATATATAAAATTTTGTCGCATATATAAAAATTCCTATTTAAAAGCTACCTCTTTTTTTAGAGAAATGTTGAATATCGGAACAATGAGGAAAAATCTTAGAAAACAAAGCGAATGATATCAAAGTCATCCTAATGTGAGTTTCCCCTGGACCGCTGGAGGGGTTCCTTTTCTGGGACACCCCGTCGGAAATATCGTCCTTGTGCCGCCGCTAATGAGTTACTTTTACTGTTTTGGCCCGAATCGGAATTTCTGAAGTGCCACACGAGAGCCCAAAACCCTTACGCTAGTCATTTCCGGGATCCCTCCTCAGATCAGACTGACCAAAAAAAGGTTGCGCCGTGGAAGTGTGACTCTGCATCGAAGACAGTTCATCAGCCCGCTTTTACGCTGATTCCCTCCACTCTGCAGTCGAGTTTTGCTCCCGCCTTCCGAATGGGCACAACAAACACTGTTTCCGGCTCAATGAATGTAATTTAATGATGGTAAGATGTCGGGAGAAAAGTGGTGATTATCGACGAGTCGCTTACCAAACCAAAATCCACTATATACCCTACTATATAATAAAAAAATAGTGTTTGTGTGTGTGTACCACTTTTCATCCGCTTCCGTCTGTCTGTCCGGGGGGATATCTCGATAGGGGAAGGATTTTAAGGTACGTATGATACGTCATTAGGTGCGCAATTGTCTTGAGATGACTGCATATACTCAAATTTTCCAAAATCACCTATTTTCGACGGTAAATTTAAGTTTTTGTGAAAACTTCTTTGTTAGAAAAATCAGCATTGACCGGAAGTGGGGATTCGACTATATAAACGGTCAGAAGTGGTTGTTTTTCATTTTTGTCATCAGAATGCACGGTAATTATGCAAAGGTTTAGGATAAAATGAGGTCAGAATCGCGAAGCGGCTTTTCAACCCTGGTAAATTTCTAATGTCCGTCCGTCCGTGCGACCGGGAATTCAGCGAAATTTTGCATGCAAATTCAACATTCAAATTGTGGGATGCGGGGGGGGGTCGGCGCTGGTATATTTTAAAGTTGCCGAGGTTGAGTTTACAAATTGTCTGGTGTAGTGTGTCGAGACCCTTTCATTGCGGAACGACATACAATCGACAGCCGGTGAGCAACAAATACAAAGCACAAAATACTCTATACAACTAGACAATGCGGGTGATGAGGCAGGCGACGACGGGGAACACGATCATGGTGTAGCCGATGCGGTTGGTGCTCTTCGCCAGCTGCTCCAACTCTTCCATGGGCATCTTGTTGCACAGATGCCCCTCGCACGAATCCACCACGTAGCGAACTGAAAGAAAAATGAAATTATTGGGGTTCATTCGTGTTAACGGGGGGGGGGGGAGAGAGGGGGGGTTTAACACGGCGACACCAAGTTTTCCACAATAATTCCGCACGGGCCTTTAACAATCTATAAACCATTTTTATAACATTTTACAAAGTTTTTAGATATAAAAACATTAGTAAAAAATTTGAAGAAGTTTCATAAATTTTTGTCTTTTTGGTCAAAAATGAATAAAAATGGCCATAAATGTCAAAATGCAGATTTTTCAAAAAAATTTCAGATCTTTTTTAGAACTTTCTAGCAATCAAAAACCACTAAAAACATCATAAAAACGCTTTAGCTTTTATCTAAAGCCAGGTATAGGCGGGGAAATAAAAAAGAAATGATTTTTGGCTTTCGGGTTAACAAAGGGATTATTTTTGATTTAGGGGAGTGAACAACGTGGAGCGCGTTCGAGGACACGGGCGTGCCAAGGGCGCGCGGGGAATTTTCTATATTTGAATTTTTTGCTATTTTTTCGAGTCGTATGCAAGACAAAAGCCTCCAACTTACCCATTGGGGCCTCGGCCGGCTTCACCTCGCTGGCCACCTTCCAGCCCTTCGCCAGAAACGCCTTGGACGCAGTGTTTCGCAAGATGGCGTGCTTGTATTCGCCGCGTTCGTTGTAAATAAAGTACGCCTGGATGCACTTGTCACCCGGCGACTTTCCTGTGGTTTCCTGTAAAAACTCTTGGTGATTAAGACGCCGTTTGCAGGTATACAGGGTGTCCCAATAAAAAAGGTCACGCTGGCATTTTGCTATTTCAAATCCGACCGACCTGAAATTTTGCACGAAGGTGCGCAAAGGAATTTAAAATGTTCACAGAAACTTTCAGCCCGATCGGTACAGTAGTGCTCAAGTTATCGCAAAAATACTGTTTTTCCCACACTTTAGCTTCATTTTTTCGGCTATCTTTTTGGACTTTGCATCAATTAACATAAATTTCCGGCTCTAAATCCCTTATTCTTCTTAACATCGGCGTCGTTAGCCCTTGTTAAAAAAATACTTAAATAGCTTATTTTCAACCCGAATTTTGCGAAATAAAAAAATTCCTAGGATAAAAAAGGGTCGGCGCTTCATTTTCTCCATACATTCCAGGGCCGAATTCCAGCGGAATCCAGGTTAAAAACGTAAAATAAAGTTTATTTTTACAATAACTCGAAAACTACTGTACCGATCGGGCTGATAGTTTCTGTGAACATTTTAAATTCCCTTCCGCACCTCTGTGCAAAATTTCAAGTCGATCGGATTCGAAATAGCAAAATGCCAGCGTGGCCTTTTTTATTCGGGACACTCTGTATCTCGGCTGAGTGGGGATTTTACGCGGGGACGGACTGTTGGGGCCGAGATAACTATTTTTTACGCTTCTTTTTGCGACAAAACAAACCCTTAGTATATTTTTTGACGCTCTGTCGAATGGCACTAAAGCAATATCGAAAACCTGCTTTCCTTCTATGTCCTCCATGGAAACAACGTTTAATACTGGTTTTGTCATAACTATTTTATATTACATTATCCTACTATATATAAAAAAATAGTGTCTGTGTGTGTGTGTGTGTGCATTTGCATGCAACTTCCGTCACCGTGTTCCAGTAGTATCTCAAGAAGGGAAGTACTTATGGGTATGTTCGTTACGTCATTAGGTGCGTAATGGTCTGGAGATGACTGCACACATATTCGATTTTACAAAATATGATGTTTTCGACATTAAAATTAAGTTTTTCATGGAAAATCGGACACCCCAATTTGTTAGGATCAAATTAGCATGCACCGGAAGTCGCGGTAGCCTATATAAAGGGACGGCGAAAGCATTTTTCATTTTTCGTCATCCGAATCCGGGAAAATTATGCAAAGCCAAGAATATCATTGGAGAAGACGGGGCCAGGGTTGAAAAGCCGCGAAGCGGTTTTTCAACCCTGGTTTTCAACTAAAATTAAAACTCTTAGTATATTTTTTGGATGCTCTATCGAATGGCATCTGTAAGATGTCGAAAAACAGCCGCTCAACCCGATTTTCAGAGCTTATTTTTCTATATGCCATAACTTTTCTTTACCGCACTGATTTGAGCCAAAACAAAAACTTTTCGTATATTTTCCGATGCTTTATCGAATGCCGTTGCAAAATTCCGAGAAATAACGAAAACATCCAAAAAGGCCTGCTTGTCCCGCCCCCGCGTAAAATTGTCCCCCCCCCCACGCATAACCGACATATGCCCATTTTTAGGTTCATTACCAGGGTTGAAAAGCCGCTTCGCGACTTTTCAACCCTGGCCCTGTCTCTGACCCCATAATATTCTGCCCTTTGCATAATTGTCTTCGATTCAGAAAACAAAACAAAGATAAAAAGAACCCTTTGTGCCTCTTTATATCGACGACCACCCGCTTCCGCTCTATGTATGCTAATTATCCCTAGCAAAGAGGTTTTTACAAAAAACCTAAATTTAATAGCGAAAATGGCCAATTTTTGAAAATCTGATATGAGTGCAGTCATCCCTAGACCATTGCGCACCTAATGACGTATCATACGGAGCCTTTAAGACCCGTCACTTCTTGAGACAGACAGACGGAAGTGGATGCAAAGTGGTACACACACACAAACACACACAGATACTATTTTTTTATATATATAGTAGGGTTATCCTATCGTACTACAAACTGTTGTTTCTGGAATGACTCTGGCTTAGCCTTAATAGTATAACTATCATGTAAGCTAACGATCGCGACTGCCAGAAAAAAAGTGAACCAATAGAAAAAGCCGCACCTCAACCGTGGTGCAATTCTTGCGCGACTGGATGTAATCGCCGTCGAGGTAGTCGTAGTCGGGGCTGAAATCATTCGTATGGATGAATTACCTACATAATGCCGATTTTCATAATGCCGGCTATTTCATAATGCCAATTTTACATAATGCCGATTTTCATAATGACGATTTGACGTATTTTTGCAGGGTTGTCTTCCAGATAAATCTTAGTGTTTCAATTCCAAACTTTCCGGAATTTTTTTTGTTTTTGTTATAACTTTTTATATTACAATATTGGGAAAATTGCTGTATCCGGTCACTAAACGGATTTTGGATTTTTATATGCCAAAATGCTGAGCAGGTCGAGCTGGTTCAGGATCAGTTGAAAAAACTTGGCGTGAAAATTTCACTTTACGGTAACTAAATAAAATCTCGATTTTTCGACTGGAATCGATAGATCTCGTCGAGTTCTACCATTTCCAGTTGAAAAAACAATTTATAAACATTTTAAATTGGCTAGTTCACTTTACGGTAACTAGATCAAAAATGTATTTTTCGACTGGGACCAATAGATCTCATCGTGTTCTTGCGTTTCCCGTTGAAAAAACTATTGGGACTAACTTATAACAAAAGTTATAAACGTTTTAAAGTCATTAGTTCACTTTACGGTAACCTCATGAAAATGCGATTTATGGCCTGGGATCAATAGATCTCCTCAGGTTCTGGCATTTAAAGTTGAAAAAACCTTTGGGAACGTTTTTTGGAAGAGACTATACAGTATAGCCTATAGCCTATACCATATTTTTGCAAATTTTACTGTGGAATTGTCAGGCAAGGCGGGCCGTCGCTTCGGATGGGCTGCCGCTCCACTCTTTCGAAATGGGGGCGCCCCCGGCCGCTTCGCCTGCCTTGGCGCCCCCATTTCGAAACCCTGTACGAGCTCGCACCCATCCGAAGCGACTAGGCCCCCGGTGGCACGAAGCCTTTTTCTAGTCGCAGAGCGATAGAAGTAGCGGTCACTTCCCTCCAAATTGAGTGACTCTGTCGCAAGACCGTCTTTTAATA